GTCAGACTAGATGACCTTGATGGTCCCTTCTGACCTTAAAGTCCACGAGTTGATGAGAAGTAGCTCTTGAGATGCCACTGCAAATATAAAACCACACGGAGGTTGCCACGGTGCCTCGCTGCTCCACTAAAACAAAAGAGCTGAAGCCGAGTTGTCAGCAGTGGACAACGAGGGTTAACATCAAGGGCCCAACCTTGGTCCTGCTGAAGCCAATAGGCGGCTCACCATTGACTGCAGCGGGAGCAGAACCAGGCACAAAATTAGCAATGGCACCTGGACCAGGTGATCTTCTTCAGAATAGATCTCTAAAGGAGGAGGCACAGAATCTGATCTGAGCTCAATGAAATCAATGGGCTCAGGATATGGCGTAAAGAAAAGAACGAGGTAGGAATCTCAGGAAGACACTGGAGAATAATTATAATTGTACTTTCCACTTCTGTGGAATCTTTCATCCAAGGAGCTCTCACACATCAATTAATTTAAAATCCAACACCGCTATGAGGTTGGTCAGGGATACATAGAAATCACTTCATCCAGCATTATAAAACAGCTGAATATGGGGTGGAACACATCAATGGTTTAACACCGCACAGCAACATGACACAACAGCTTAAAGCACAAGGGAAAGAAGAATACAAATATCCAATCGGAGTTGTCAGGGAATACAGTTGGGGAGAATGTAATCGCTCAAGTATGAAGTTTGGCCTGAACATTGGGGTAAACACTTCTACTCTTGCAAAAAAAAAAAAAAAAAATGCCAAGCAATCTTTAATGACCTCGAGTAACCAGGACCTCAGTTTTACAGCTTATCCAAAAGACAGCACCTCCAGCATTATAGTGCCACAACCTCATCCTCTTGGATTCACTGATCTCGTGTAGTCATGAGTTCTACAAAGGAGGCAAGGAATAAGGAGAGAAAAATAATTAGGATGGGTGGAAAGGTCCATTCAGAAATACTCAAGGAAATAAGATGTAAAATGGATAAGACTGGAGCCCCAATAGTGGGGAGGGTGGGAAGGTCAGCAAAAGCAAGGGAAAAAAGGATCAGAAACCCATTACAGTACATGAATTGCGTAGACGATAACATGTGAGACAGCAGAAGATAGAAAATAAATCTGTCATTTAATCCTGCCGATGGGTTAGATGATACCTTTGGTGTGAACCGTATTTTGGGTCAGCATATCACAAGCATGTTGGAAGAACATGACAGATACTGGGCGCAGTCCTTCTCCTCTTGAAGTTAGTGGGAGTTTTGCTATTGGTTTTGATGGGATCAGGATCAGGCCCATTATGGGTTCTGAAAGTGAGCATACATTTTATATATCTCCTACATTTTATATATGCTCTGAAGTCTTTTCTGAGGTAGCAGGCTATTTGGTTATCTCTGCAGTGTGTATAGTTAGGCATCTTCTGTGAAAAATAAAACACACCACATGGATATGAATGGAAATGCTCAGAGATTCTGAAAAACGTTTGTGAGATAAAGGGTACCAACGCCAGGAGAGGTGACAGTGCAAGCGTAACAGGTTCCAATCCAGAACTTGGTGTCTGGTTGGGTGGGGTGGTTCTGGGAGTTGAAGCTCTATGGGGCTCTGTCAAGAGAAGCTTGGACAGGACAGGTTGTCTTTGTAAAACAGGAGAGGTTCTGGCTGGTGGTGATATGAAGACAAAGGGAGAGGGTGGTTAAAAGTTGCAAGGACTGTCCAGCATTCAGGAAGTGCCCTTCCCACAACTGTTTCTACACATCCCATGGAGAAATTTATTTGAGCCTGCCTACAAAAGCCTGCTTGATCTTAAACTGGGATGTGAGCACGGGCATCTGCATACAGGGTGCAGGGTGCTGTGAAGATCACCTTAGGCGTCCATGAGCCACATTCGGCTCTTGGCTGTTACACATTGACTTTAGTGAACGCACAATTATAGCAAATTGATGTTCATGAACCAGCACAGTAAATTATTGTTCTTTTATATTTATATAGTACCCAGAACATCCACAGACAAAAAGGATGTCACATACCATCAAAGATAGGTCTTCTTAAATCAAGAAAGAGATTATGTGGTATAGATTGTCAAAAACAAAGAAAATACCTACCTGGTGAAATACGACTATAGCCAATGCCTTTCATCTCTGAAAGACTTGGTAGTCAAGACCACCTTAGAAAGTCTACTTTAACTAATTATCAAATGTAAGAATCAAAATGTGATTTCTGATTTGTTTTGGATTAGTGTGTTTTGATACACATTGTACACATGTAATCATTTGGGTACATATATATGAATAGGTTTACTTTTTACTGAGCTTTGCAGCCTCATTGACGAAAAGAGATGCAATATACAAATATGTTTGTCCTCTCAGTTCCATTAAATAATGGAAGATTACTGATCACATGGATCATATATCTTTTTAGAGATATTAACCAGTCAAGTAATTTTTACCCACACAGCCCCAAGTTAATGGGGCTTCTTGCATTACTAAGGGACTACTCCTTGTGTGAGTAACGGTGTGCAAGATTGGCCCTTTGTGTCTCAGTGTACTCAGTGCATTAATTTTCATCGGTTATTGCCAAAGAATTCAAACTATTACTGATTTGCTTATTATTGTAGCAAATAAAATTAGTGTCAGGCAATCAGAAAAGCCCATATTTACTGCTAAAAATCACACACCTATAAAAGTTGACTGGCTGAAGAAAAAACGCAGCTGTTCCTTTGCCAATCAGAATGCTGCTTTGCTGTGATCATTGTCACACACAAAGATGTGTTAGAATAAACGTCTGCAATGTTGGTTTAACAGACAAAGTTAATTGGAATAAAACTTTGTGACCAAGATAACAGAACATTGAAGACTTTATTTGAATCATCTTTGCCTCCATGTTTTAGACCTGACAAATGTTTCAGCTTTCATTTATCTGACAGGAGAACATGAGGTTGTGATACTGATTTATGCCACTGACACTATTATCTCCTTAATGGTTTTGGCTCAGTAAGGTACTTAAACACATGCCTAACATTGAAAACAGTGCCATTGACTCCAATGGGACTAGTGCTCCAAGGTAAACGTGCTCAAGTACCTTACTGAATCTGGACCTGTATTCTTAGAAGGATTGCCAACAAAACTGAAGGAAGAAAAAGCTTCAGAACTGCAAATCTCTATCTCCTTTATATCATATGTGAGCAGCACCATGAGACAGCTTCCTCGTGGCCTTGCTAATATTAGTGTCTGGAAACAAACCAGCTGAGTAAAAACTAACCCCAGGCAGGACTGCAATGATGCTGGTGGACAAGGGGAGCACTTGGAAGAACCTGACTGTCTAGCACAACCCCCACCACCAAGGGCATCTGCCCTCAAATTGTCAAGTCAGGCTGCAGCCCTGGAGTCCTTTTGGCGTCTTTATTGCATAGAGACATGGTGGCAAAAAACCCACCCACTTCCCCCTGTGACTGGCCCGAAGATGCACTCCATCCCATCAGACGCAGTTCAGGCTGCAGAGATTCATGCATTTTGACCCCCAAGCTTGTACACGGTGACTCCTATCTAGGAATGAAACCACATACCCCCAAATGCTCCAAGTACCACAAAACACAAGAGCCCTTCTGCTTATTAACACAGCTGCCCATGAACACATTGCTTTGCACTCTGTCTCCTTGGCTCCCCACTGAATCTACAGTGCAATTCAAGGTCTCTGTCCTGACATTTAAAGTCCTCAATGGGATTGGCCCTAGCCACCAGAGAGATTGCTTCTTCCTTTCCCACCTAGGCCCTCCACAGCAGGTACCGTTCCTCCAAAACAACAGAACCGTCAACCAACAGGGGGAAGCTCCTCAGTGCAAGAGAAAAAGACTGGCTTCACCCACACAAGAGGAAGAAAGTGAGTTAGAGAGGAGTATGGAGGGAGGCAGGGGAAGAAACCTTTGATGTATTTTATCATGCATGCTCCTCATAGCGATGCCAGTCAAGCTTAGGGTGACCAGATGTCCCTATTTTATAGGGACAGTCCCGATATTTGGGGCTTTTTCTTATATAGTTTCCTATTATCCCCCACCCTCTGTCCCGATTTTTCACACTTGCTGTCTGGTCACCCTAGTCAAGATCAGAGACTGGGTATTTAAGAATAATTTAATGGGAAGGCAAGACTGGCTCTGACCCTTTGGTTCTACAGATCAGGAGCACAAAGACGGTACTCTATACTGCAAGAAAGTCACTTATCTACTAGGTCAAAGAGAGGCCTGCAGGTGTGTGCTCCCCTACTTTACCCCTCTTCAGTTACTCAGCAGGTGTAAAGAGGTAAAGCCTGAGGGGAGGTTTAAGATCAAAGGTGGACTTTGTCCAGAACATTATTGTGTTTTTCCAGTGTTGGGGAGGGGGGGGACGGGACGGCAGAATAAACTGAAAAGAAACAAAAAACAACCAACCCAAATCCTTTGCCAAGTGTTCAGGTGAACCGACAGGAGGAGGCATGCTGCTGTGGTTGGAATTCCCTCTGTATAAGAGACGGGTTTGAGCAACAAAATGTAGAGCCAAATCTGAGCTCCCCAGAGTTTTACAGCTAGGAGGCCAGCTGCTGAGTTTGCACACGTTGGGGCGGGGGGCAGCCCCCTTCCTGTGCATACTGGAGAGGGGTGGATACTGTGCGATGGGGGTTGTTGCAATGGACACTGAAATAGTCACCACTCCAGGCACTGAAGTGGGAAAGGCCAGAGGCCGGGCCAAGGGAAGTCTCTGTCGCAGCCCAGCAGTTCCCCCACCTGATGCCCAGATGGGCCGAGCTAGGACAAGGCTTCGCAGAGCAAAGGGACGAGGGCGGACCTGAGCAAACCGAGCCCGGCAGGGGCTGATCTCAGCCCGTGGCTGCGGGACAGCCCAGGGCCGGCTCTCGCCGGACTGGGTTACCCCACGGTGGGTGCCAGGGGATCACGCCCCCCACCCGGAGACGCAAGGGCCAAGGGCATTTGCAAGCTGCCTCCAGGAGGCGGGCGGGGCGGGGGCTGTCCCCGCCACTCACCATGATGGAGAAGACGAAGGCCACGATGTTGATGGGGTACGCGGGGCAGAAGCAGGAGAAGATGCTGAGGACCAGGTAGCTCTTGGGCATGGGCGCGGCCTGCGGGGGCTCATGCTGGACGCTGCTCTCGGGGCTGCTGTGCAAAGCCCGCTTGAGCTCCGAGCTGGCGGCGGGCTCCGACATGGGCGGGAGGCGGCGGGGCGGCGGCGCGCGGGGCAGACTCGGCGAAAGGCTCCGCTCTCCGGGCTGGCAGCTCCGCGGAAGGGTCTGAAATGCCAGCGCAGGGCTCCGGGACCTCCCCGCGCCTCGCTCCTCCCCCGCCCCCCCCGGCGGCGGCGGCGGCGGCGGCGGCGGCAGCCAAGAGAGCCCGCCCGGGCCAGGCGCGGCGCCCCCTCAGCCGGCGCCTCAGGCGGGGCGGGGCGGGGCGGCTCCCTGTGGTGACCCTGCCCTCGCCTGCCCTGGGCCACGGGGGCGTAAACACAGGGTCGGGCAGGACACACATGAGGAGGGGGCGAACGTGCGGGGAAAGGGGGGCGGACAGCAGCTGAGGGCTCGTGAGGGAAGCGGTACAAGCCCCGGACTCCCCCCCCCCCCGCCCCAGAAACACGGTCTGAGGCGGCGCCTTCTCGGCCGGCGGCAACGGCTCCCGGGGAGCCCCCAACGTCGGACGGAGCCAGCCGCCTGCGGGCAGCACGTGGCGGGAGCAGCCGCGTTGCCGGGCTGGGGCAGAGCCGGGGGCTGTCTCGTCAGGGCCCCTGTCTCCAGCCCTGGCCAGCACCAGCCGCTTCAGACGCAGGTGTCAGAGCCCGCGAGCTGCCCCCCACTAAGGCTTGGGCCAGGGGGGTCCCGCACGCAAATGACCGTGAGGGCCCCGTGAGGACTAATACATTGGCCTGAGGGCCGCACCACTGACCACCCCCCCCACCTGCTGCCCTGGCCCAGCCCCCACGCCACCCCTTCCCTGAGGCCCCTGCCCTACCTCTTCCCACCCCACCCCTTCCCTGAAATCTGCACCCCAGCTCTGCCCCCTCCCTGCCCCCAGGGGGTGCAGGGTGCATCAGGGGGCTCTGGGTGCAGGAGGGGTGTGGGGTGCAGCAGGGGGCTCAGGGAAGGGGGTCGGGGTGCAGGAGGGGTGTGGGGTGCGGCAGGGGGCTCAGGGAAGGGGGTCGGGGTGCAGGGGTGTGGGGTGCGGCAGGGGGCTTAGGACAGGGGCTCAGGGAAGGGGGTTTGGCTGCAGAAGGGGTTCGGGGGGGCGGGGCAGGGTGCAGCAGAGGGCTCAGGGTAGGGGGCTTGGCTGCAGAAGGGGTTCGGGGGGGCGGGGCAGGGTGCAGCCGGGGGGCTCCGGGTAGGGGGTTTGGCTGCAGAAAGGGTTCGGGGGGGCGGGGCAGGGTGCAGCCGGGGGGGCTCCGGGTAGGGGGTTTGGCTGCAGAAAGGGTTCGGGGGGGGGGCGGAGGGTGCAGCCGGGGGGCTCCGGGTAGGGGGTTTGGCTGCAGAAGGGGTTCGGGGGCGGGGCAGGGTGCAGCCGGGGGACTCGGGTAGGGGGTTTGGCTGCAGAAGGGGTTCGGGGGCGGGGCAGGGTGCAGCAGAGGGCTCAGGGTAGGGGGCTTGGCTGCAGAAGGGGTTCGGGGGGGCGGGGCAGGGTGCAGCCGGGGGGGCTCCGGGTAGGGGGTTTGGCTGCAGAAAGGGTTCGGGGGGGCGGGGCAGGGTGCAGCAGGGGGCGGGGCAGGCTCCCTGCCGCCTGCCCTGCCCCTGCGCCCGCCCGCTCCGGGAAGCAGCTGGGTCCTGGGGGAGAGGGGTGGGGCACAGGGGTGCGTGCGTTGCCCTGGCCGTGCCTCCAGGTACCGCCCCCGAAGCTCCCATTGGCCGGGAATGGGGAACCGCGGCCAATGGGAGCTTCGGGGGAAGTACCTAGAGGAGCAGCCAGGTCAACACAGACCCCTGTGCCCCCCTGGTCCCGGCCACTTCCCAGAGCTGAGGGGTGGTGGGGGGCAGGGTAGGCAGGGAGCCGCTCTACGTAAACGCTGGAGAGGATGCGGAGGAGCCGTGAGGAGCAGGCAGGCAGCAGAAAATAACCGCGGGGGCTGCGTGTTTGAGACCCCTGGCTTAGGCTAAGCTCTAAGCCTGAGAAGTTGGCTTCTTAAACCCTGAAGGTTTCATTTCCCTACCACCACTTTATCCCCATTAATTGTGACAATTTTGCATAGCCTTGTTATCCCTATAAAGATCCAATCCCTTTGCGAATCTTTGCCTCTCTGCCTTCTGGGGGGCCCGAATCCCACAGTCGAATGTCTTGAGGGGGAAAATTATTTCCTTTTATCCCCTTTGAATGGAATTGAATGGTTCAGTTGAGCCAACACAAACCCCTTGAACGTACCAGACCCCCAGTGACAGGTTTCAGAATAGCAGCCGAGTTAGTCTGTATCCGCAAAAAGAAAAGGAGGACTTGTGGCACCTTGGAGACAAATAAATTTGTTAGTCTCTCAGGTGCTACAAGTACTCCTTTTCTTTTTGCAGGCCCCCAATGTTTGAGTTGATCTCAGCAAACTGACTATTTCTGCTGATAGCTGTAGCCACCTCTGCATATGGGATCCATAATATTTCGCTTTTTGGGCGGAATATTTTATTACTTTCAGAAAGGTCATTTATTTTTAACGAATAAAAGTCTGTTTCAAACACTCCCATAAAGCCATGATGATTTTCAGGCTGACGAGAAGAGACATGACAAATTTCATCCATGCTTCATTTCTGAAGCCAGGTCCCAGCGCTGCAATGTGGCGTTGATAGAGCCTGCATTGCAATAGCACAGATACACCCATTGCTCCAAACCCCTCTGTTCTCCGAATCCCTCCCTCATCCCCCAGGTGTCTCATGCTGGGGGACAAGGAAGGGATTCAAAGAGTAGAGCAGATACTGTGACGTTGCACTCCATATGTTTTATGGAAATGTTTATAAATGTGAATATGATGTAACTGTAATATGCTTTATGCAAAAGGTCTCTTGTAAGGTATAACAAAGGTTATAACCTACTGAATATATTCCTCCTAGTTGTATGCATGTATCATTCTTGTATCTAAAACTAGGAATACGAAGTATAACTCTGAGGTCCTGTTGTAATTATGCAAAGCGTGGGCCATTAAGGGTGGTTTAGAAACTTGATGGCTCCCACTGACTAGGACAATGGGTTGTAAATGGCTCTGTTTACTTGCAAACCTTCCTGTGTATGTGTGGGCCAGTCCTGGAAGAGTGGAGTGGAGGGGCTCTCACAGGACATGTCACCTCATACTGAAATCCATCTTAACCCTGGTGCTTTTCCATTTAGAAGGAGGGGTGGGGACCCAGAGAGACAAAAGTTCCCCGCCTTCCTTGTGCCAAAGATATAAAAGGGGGCTGCCAGTCATGAGAAACATCTGCTTTTCACCAAAGATGCCTGCTGGAACTAACAAGGACTGTACCAGGGAAAGGATTGGGCCCAGACTAGGATGTGGGCAAGAGAGGGGAAGGTTTTATCTGTATTCAGGTTTTCTTACTGTATTAGACAGACTTCCGTGTTCTATATTATTTTGCTTGGTAATTCACTTTGTTCTGTCTGTTACTACTTGGAACCACTAAAATCCAGCTTTTTAACTAAATAAAATCACTTTTGTTTATTAATTAACCCAGAGTAAGTGATTAATACCTGGGGGAGCAAACAGCTGTGCATATCTCTATCAGTGTTATAGAGGGCAGACAATTTATGAGTTTACTCTGTATAAAGCTTATACAGGGTAAAACAGATTTATTTGGGGTTTGGATCCTATTGGGACCTGGGTGGTTGGGTGCTGGAGATGGTGACCTGCTGAGCAGTTTTTGGTTAAAGTCTGCAACTTTAGGGGCATGGATCAGAGCGGGGTCTGTGTTTGCAGCAGGCTAGCATGTCTGGCTCAACAAGGCAGAGTTCTGGAGTCCCAAGCTGGCAGGGAAAATGGGCTCAGAGGTAAATTCAGCATATCGGTGACAGTCCCAAGGGCGTATCTGTGACCAAACTCATCACAGATACCCCCAGCGAGGAGGGCGATGAGGAGGGGAAGGGGAGGGAGCCCACTGCAGCCACGTTGTCTCAGAAGTGAGTGAGTGGAGCAGAGACTCGCAGCCAGGAGTGCGAGGAGGAGGAGCCGCTGGTCAGGCTAGCCTGCTGCTGAATGACTCCTACCATCTCAATTATCTGAACTCCCCCTTATCCAAAGAAAATCCACATCCTGCCTGCTATTGGGGTAATCAGGAGTATATAGTATCAGATGAAGTGAGCTGTAGCTCACGAAAGCTTATGCTCAAATAAATTTGTTAGTCTCCAAGGTGCCACAAGTCCTCCTTTTCTTTTTGCGAATACAGACTAACACGGCTGCTACTCTGAAACCTGTCAGTCTTGTACTGTGCTTCGCCTCACAACAGCCCGGGGAGGCAGGGAAGTGTTATTCCCATTTTACAAATGGGGAATGTAGGCACAGAGACTTTCACAGGCTGCCTGTGGCAGAGCAGAGACTTGAACCCAGGGCTCCCAAGTTCCAGGCTATTGCCCTGGTCACCAGACAATCCTTCCTCTCTCAGGCCCCTGTGCCCACATGGAGCCCCAAAGTCAATGGGCCTCCCCCATCATCAGGTGCAGAAACGAGGCCCGAGAGTTAGTGCTTAATTTGCTCATTAAAATGACAGGAAATAGTACTAGAGGTGTGATTACAGCTTTATAAGCCACATGTATTTGGTCAGTCCTTGCGAGCCTTCAGTGCAAGCCCCTAGTGCCCTGTATCCTGCCAACCAACAAAGGAGACCAAAAAAAAAAAAAGGAGTGCACTCCTTTTGGCTTCTCTCTGAGGTATGAAGACGACATGACAGGTATTTTATCTACCTATTTTTGGTTTTAAAAAAATCCAGTGTTCTGTACCTGATTCTTCCTAGGAGCCTCTCATCCGTGATCCCTTGAGGTCGAGGACGATCTCTTTCACAAGTTTTATTTTTCATGGGTCCTTTGGTCACCGAGGAGTCCAATCCTTGAGCCACAAGCTCGTTGGCAGATGTTGCAGGTGTTGTTGGAAGACAGGGTTGGGCCACGATTGCTGTAAGACAGTTGTCGGTCCTTTCTTTTCTGGTGTTTTTCTGCGACCAGGACAAGACGATTTTCCTCAAAAGTCTTCGCCAGTTATCCCTGTCCTGGGCAGCTGTCTCCCAGTGTCTGGTGTCAATTCCACATCTCCTGATGTTTATCTTGAGGGTGTCTTTAAAGCGTTTCTTTTGGCCTCCCCATTTCCTTTCTCCTTT